TATATATATATATATATATATATATATATATATATATATATATATTTGAATGTTTGAATAATAGTCTGTAAACTCAAACTTGGCATTACATAATGTTTCCTAATGTTTATGGCGATGAATTTTAATACAAATGTGTTCTCAGCCATGGGCAAGTAGGCAAGTATCTCAGTGGTTATGTTCTTTACTATCCGCAGGTGAGGGTCGTTTCAGCCGTCCTATTTTTATCCAGGAGCCACAAGATGTCATTTTTCCTTTGGATTTATCTAGATCTGAAATTATTCTGACATGTACTGCAAATGGATACCCTTCCCCGCATTACAGGTAAAATATACTTCTTTGTACCATGTTGTCTTCTTTCTGGTTGCTATAAAACAGACACAGAGTAGGGATCCTCAGATACACCCTACATATTCAAAGTACACCTAATGATATTTTCCCACTGTTACTCAGCTTTGTCTACACAATTCATATAGGTGTATATACATATTCAGAACCATAATGCATTCCTTTATGCTGCATTCTCGACATCATTTTTAGGTAACCACAACTATGCATATATCTATTGCTTCTTTGATATTTATTCTCGGGATTTGTCGCAAGCAGACACATACATACTTAGAACTAAGAAAGAATCAGTGAAGACAACACCTAAATATATGAAAACAAAAAAAGGGGAGGGGGAAAATGAGGAAGATTTAGTTTCACAAGCTGAAAAAAATATAAGTTTATTTTACATTCCACATTTCTACTTCAGTTGAAATATACTACCTTAGTTTCTCATAAGCAATAACAAATGGCCTTCTATAAACTAACAATCAAAGTGGAAACTTCAACTCATTTCAAGAGATCAAATTCTGAAACTTTCCCAGCAGCTCCCTTGTGCCAAAAGTACTAATTGTAGAAAAACTATGTTGAAGGCAATTATGTACATTTTAGGCTGAGAAAGAATTTTTACTACAGAAAAAAATGTTTGTCTCTCATATAGAATTTTATTTTGAAAGCCTTCATTTGTATGTTATTTCGAATTGCTCTTCCTTTTCTCATATGTGTCTGCCTAAAGAGAACATGTGAGGAAGTATGCGGTGTCTTCTCTGGGATCTTTGTAATATCAGGGGCACATACATTGGTTTTGAATAAAACTTTTAACAAAAACGTTTTAAAACTAAAAATAATTTTTCTTTTCTGGCATTCTTTCGCTTTTAATTTACTACAAAGAGATAAGTAAAGGGCAAGAAGGAAGAATGATTTTTTTTCTTATTTACACAGTTGCCATGTGAGTGGACTTCAAAGATCTATAAATTTATATGTATATAAGTTGTATTCTTTTAAATGAAATGATATTTTGTTGGTAAGAACTGTGTGCAATGTGAATATAAGGATTAAAAAAAGTCAAAATGGTATTTTGTGATTTGGATTTTAAAAGCTGTTCCAAAGTGTTAATTTTTAGACACGGAATTGGATTGGCATACGCAAAGTGCAACTGTAAGTCAATTTTTAGCAAACCAGGGTGACTTTCCTGACTTTCACATTGTGATGAAATACAGCTGAAGTCTCTATAATTACTAGAGGAATATAGTCAGTTATTTATAAATTGCCAAAGCTATGAGCATCTCTGCATTATTTTGTATTTAGCTTTTATTTTATAGAATAACTTCATCATCTTTCATTCATAAGTCTTTTTTTCTTAATAAATTCTTAACCCAATTCAAGTTAACTGATTGGGAAAGACCTATCACTTTCCTAATTATTTTGATCAAATTCATTTTTTCTTATTTATTTTGCTGTTTTTTATTTTTATTTTTCATATTAATTACAGTTTATTCACTTTGCATCCCACTGTAGCCCACTCCTTTATTCCCTCCCAATTCCACCCTTTCTCCCTCATCCTCTCCCATGGCCCTCTCCAACTCTACTAATAGGGAGGTCCTCCTCCCCTTCCATCAGGTCTCATCAGTACTGGCTGCATTGTCTTCCTCTGCAGCCTTGTAAGGCTTCTCCCCCTAATGGAGAGGTGATCAAAGAGCTAGACATGAATTCATGTCAGAGACAGCCCCTGTTTCTAGGGAACTGTCTTGGAGACTGAGCTGCCATGGGCTACATCTAAAGATGTCTTGAGCTTGGTGAGATGGTTCAGCAGTGAAGAAGAGGATTCACAGCTCTTGTAACAGAGCAGATTTGATTCCCACTGTGCTGAAAACAGCTTGTGTAATTCACATTCCAGCAGATCTGACACCCTTTTCTGGCCAGTGCTGGTACTGCAGGTGTACAGACATACATGCCAGACAACTACCTTTACAGGTAAAAAAAAAAAAAACAAAACATTTTTAGAAAAGGGTTATTACTTTAACCAGAGATGAAATAGGTAAAATATATTTAAAACATTTTTTAGGATCATCTCAACTGATCATATATTTAGCTCATATGATGGGGGCAGATATCTGAATGCCTATATATTTTTCAGTTTGTTAAGTACAACTTAAATTAGTACAGTATATTTGAAATACTTATTTTCTTGCAATAAGTAGAAAACTATAAACTTCTGGTTCTGAAGACAGTTTTCTAGTTAGTACATCAATGAAGACAAAATAAAGAATATGGCTAGAAATTCTAATTGCACTAAATGGGTTATGTTCCTTGGGTATTTGTAAACTAGAAACCTAAAGACAAACAATTTAGCTTTTCATTTCTAATCTTTATCAAGTATACCTTCCTCATATTTAATGATAAGAAACTCATGGGCAAGAGGCTTTGGAATGAAAAAAAAAAGAATTAAAATTTTAATGCCTAAATGTCAGACTCTGACCCAATTTCCTTGATAATGAAGCAAAGAGCAGTGGTATTTCATACATTATATCCGAGGTGTGTGATGTAAAGGTTTAGTTTTCCTGTTGCCATTTCTGATTATATTTGTTTTTTCTTTACAACTTACTAATAACTCTTTTAGAGTTAGATTTTTTTTTTTTTTGGTAGAATGAGCACTAGAGAAAAGGTCTTTATTATTATAGTCCAAGGTTAGACAAGGTTATTTAGGGAAAATGAGAAAATAGTACAAAGAGCCTTTCCCTTTAAAATAAGAATTATCTTCTCTAGAGGCAATTCTGTTCTACAAATAACTCTGGGAAGATCATTTCTTAACAGTCGACTTTCCTATATTGGTATTAAAACAAAGAAAGAAGAAAAGAAAGAAAGAAAGGAAAGAGAGAGAATTAGAGAGAGAGAGGGAGAGAGAGAGAAGTTAAAGGGAATGAATGCATTGCTTTAAAAGTTTTGTTTGGTGGGATTGGGAGGAGGTCAGGGAGGAGTCCACATCCAGGATACAAAGTGAAAAAATTGTAATAAATAATATATTTTATAAAGTTTTGCTTGTTATTCTAATCAAGATCATATCATTAAACTTATTCTATTTTTCCCAAATATATCTTTACATTAGTTCTTTTGCACAGAAAATAAATTATATCCTTTTCGTTGTTGTTTTGTAAACTTAGTATAGAAAAATGTAATCTCATGAGAGGAAATAACAATCTTAAAGTTAGGTTTTTGGAAGTTGAGGAGTAATTTGTGCAAAGTCATATTCTCTGAAATAAATATTCTGCAAACAAGAGCATAATTAAAGTCAAGACCCAGGGAAAAACTTGTTTGCACAGTTTCAATGTCCAGGGAACATATAGACAAAGAGGAGTAAGGGAGCCTTGCAAAGGAAAAGAGAAGTGGATCATCCAAAATGAGTGATAGGAAAAAAAAAACTTGCTTATAGCTAGAATCTCTAGGAAAATCAGCTAGCAGAGACTTAATCTCACATGTTCTAAGGGATTCGTAAACAAACACATTATTTCTGCACACAATACACTTTTTCTCAGACAAAAGAAGTCGGGATATAGGTGATTACTTCTGTTAGCGGGAAAGAAATAGGACCATTCATTAAGTGGAAGTCTCTCTAGAAAATAGGAGGGTCAGGAAACTCTTAGGAGATGCCATTCTCTCTTCTTACATTTCTCCATTTCATGTTGCTAATTCCTTCCTGGGATCAAGCAGGGAATAAATCATGAAATATTTATAATGGGTGGACACAAAGATGGACAGGACAGTAATGACAACCCAGACATGGAGGCAACATTCTCCAATGCATTCTGAAATAAGAACAGCAGACATACTTAGAACATAGATTTTATTGCTTTCCTACAATGATCTGGGGCTGGGCTCAGAAACAGGTGCTTTTAAAAAATCACTTAAAGCAGAGAACTGATTTGTTAGAAATCACACACAAAGGCATTCATGTGTGTGCACATTAACCAGTGACAGCAAATAGAGCCCCCAGCCTTATTGTTCAATAAGGTCTCAACTAATTAACTATGAATGATATTCCACGGCAAAAGGATCAGATTCCAGTTCACACTGATCACCTCTTAGAAATATGTGTTAGTTCATATGCTTAAAAATATTCACTTAACACGTGTTTTCTAGTTTATAACAAAAAAACAATCCCTTGTCTGTGTAATGCTATCAATAAAGTATGTCTGACAATCACATCAATGAACTGAAACTATTTCTCCGTTTATTTAAGCATATTAATTAGGACAAAGCCCACACCTAGAGCTGAACTCCTGATCTATATGCACAGTTTAATAATCATTGTACCACAGTGATTAGAATGATTATGGTGTTACTGTGAAGAATTCATTTGCTGCAGCTAAGCCAACAACTTTGAATTTGTGTTGAAAAACAATTACTGCGTTTAATTAGAAGCATGTAATGATGACAGCAGTTATTTCAGTGATTGATTCCAAAATTAAAGAGAGCTGGCAAACTAAGTATGGTATACCCTTCTCTTTCAAAATGATAGAGAACACGGAGGTCTGAGACTGTGCCCTCTAAGCAAATTATGAAAGACAGGTTTAAAGTGAGAGCAAAGAAAATATTGGCATCTTGAGACAAGCCAGTGGGAAGTGATGTTTCCTGCTTTCTCAGTCCTAAGAGCTCGTACAAGAAGCAGTATGTACAAATCACTATTGAAAAAAATGTAAAAAACCCAAGATGTATAGATGGACACTATATCATGGTTATCTTCATTTTATTAAAAAAGAGTTGTCATCTACAGAAGGTAGCCAAATCATTTAAAATTCGACAGGATTGGCTCAAATCCTCTGTCTGATTAGATATTTGACCCATCACTTCATATTTTTGGTAGTGTATGTGGGGTAACCTAATTCAGTATTTCTTTTCTATTTTAGTAGACATTAGTTAGGTTTTTGGCAATGTCTCTGTCTCAATGCCACTTCCAAATCAAAGATATCCAATAAAATGTTATACAATACCATTCTTTTCTCACAATTATGCACCCGAAAAAAAAACATATTTTCACTACGAATAAAAGAATCATAACAAGGCAGGCATATACCCTTAAAAATGTGATATGAAAACTGCTTACATCATGTAGGAAGAGACCGTTTGGCAATGAGATCCAGACAAATGGCCCTAAAGCAGTGGTTCTCAGCCTCTGGGTTGAGACCCCTTTGGAGGTTGGACAACTCTTTCACAGAAGTTGCCTGAGACATCAGAAAACATGGGTATTTCCATGGTTCATAACAGCAGAAAAATTACACTTATGAAGTAGAAACAAAAATTATTTTATGGGTGGGAGTCAGCACAAGAGGAGCAGTATGAGGAAGATTGAGAATAACTGCCCTAAAGCCTAGAGACAGTAACAGAAGCAGAAGAACTTTGCCAGCTTTCCTGAATCCTTCCTTTTTAAGCTGAGGATAAAGTCTTCATTTCAGAGGTTACTTCCAGAAATCCTAAGCAGAGGGACTGACTTACATTATCCCACAAATCCAGGTCATCAGTGAGAGCATGAACAATCTTTAGTCCCTGTTGAGTTTGCTCTAATTATGAAATCAGCTACTGTTCTCTGTCATTTTTATTGTGACAACTGTACACTCTAAATTAAACCTAGCACTGAAATATACAGATTTGTCTGTGTTTGGGGGTTTTGGTTCTCAAAACTCCAATATCATGTAAAAGTTATACTGGATGACTGGGTCTGTTCTAATCTGTCTTCTATTGTAGACCATGAGCCATGACCATGACAATGAGTGGGGAAAGGTTTTGTTTCTTTTCCCTTGTATTTTTCTTCTCTACAAGTGATAGTTGTATGATTCATTTTATTAAATGTATATTCCCATAAACGCTTTATATGACTACATACAATTTACATCTTTGAGAGGTACCTTATTAATGTGCAACATTCATAATGTAAAATATGAATTAGGGAGATGTCCAATGAGAGAAGTGATTCTAGTAAGAGCTGGTGAATGACGCTGGAGAAGTGGCTCAGAGTTTAAGGGTACTGTCTGCTCTTTAAAAGGTCCTGAGTTCAATTTCCAGCAATCACAGTGGCTCACAATCATCTATAATGAGACATGGTGCTCTCGGCATGCAAGTATACATGAAAGCAGAACATTATATACACAATAAATAAATAAATAAATAAATCTTTTTTTAAAAAAAGAGGTGATGAATGCATATTCACTGATCTTGAAATGACCAAACGGAGTCTTCTAAGGTTGTTTATGAAGCCTTCCAAATAACACTAACGTCCTTTTTTCAGATAGATAACTCTTACACTGAAGGATTGTTGACTAATAGCTAAGCTGAGAGAATTTGGCTTCTTAAAAAAAGGTCTCAAGCTGCATTTGTTTTGCTAACATATAATTTTAGGTTGGCTTTCTCAACTGCCATTGAAATATTTTCAACGTGATTAATTTTCCAAGTGGCAGACTCACAAAGACAATAACATTTTGAAACTTTCGGGTTATTATTGTTTTGTTATCAGCCTTGAATGGGGATTGTCAGACCCTTGCTGGCATTCCTCATGCTGGGTGTAATGTAGCTTTCTTGGGTTTCTGTCTCAAAATCATTTCTGACATTCAGTTTTGCAATGCCACTTGTGAGGATTCAGGCAAGGTATACATTACTTGAAAAGTCTCTAAAGAAATAGATGTCAGAATTATTGACTGAAGTCTAAATTGTATTTCTCATGTTAAAGGTTCTGCTGCCTTTCTGCTTTCACATGAGTGAGGGTTTGTAACTTATAATGGGTAGAAAGCTTCCAAACAACATGCCAATTTGTATCGCTGACCCCAGAACAATTGTATTTGCCAGGCCTTGTAGAATAGGCCTATAATCTCAGCATGTGGGAGAGTAATACAAGAGGCTTTCTGAGACTCATACTCCAACCAAGGACCATGCATGGAGATAACCTAGAACCCTTGCACAGATGTAGCCCATGGCAGCTCAGTCTCCAAGAGTGTTCCCTAGTAATGGGAACAGGGACTTTTCTGACATGAACTCAGTGGCTGGCTCTTTGACCACCTCCCCCTGTGGAGGTAGCAGCCCTACCAGGCACAGAGGAATACAGTGCAGCCAGTCCTGAGGAGACATGATAGGCTAGGGTCAGATAGAAGGGGAGGAGGACTTCCCCTACCAGTGGACTTGGGGAGAGGCATGGGAGGAGATGAAGGAAGAAGGGTGGGATTGGCTACAGCTGGGATACAAATTGAATAAACTGTAATTTATAAAAAAAATAAATAATTTAAAAAAGAATAAAAGAGAAATGGATTTCAAGTGCAACAGCAGGCATGACTTCAGAGTTTGTTTAGGGTAAGACTGGGTCAACTGGGTCACCTAGTAAGAACATGTCTCAGATGTTTTTAAAAAACTAAAATGAGGCTGTAGATGTAGTCCACCATTAAAAAAACATGTTGAGTCTGTGAGGCCCTAGGTTCAAACCCCAGTACTACAAACACAAGCTAAACATCATTGTCCTTAATGAAACTACTGAGACCATCCCACGAGTAATCATGTGTTTTGTGTGGATTTGTCTTTGTTTATTTTTATTCTTACAGGAATCCAACAGTATGATTTTTATGATAAATAGCATTATATTCTTCATATTACTTATCTAACTTTCTTTCTTTCTTTTTACTTGAAGGTGGAAACAAAATGGCACAGATATTGACTTCAGCATGACTTATCACTATAGGTTGAATGGAGGCAGTTTGGCCATTAGCAGCCCCCGCACGGATCAAGATATTGGCACCTACCAGTGTCTGGCCACCAATCCTGTGGGCACCATTCTGAGTAGAAAAGCCAAACTACAGTTTGCATGTAAGTTCATGGGGAAAATCCATACTCACCATATCCTGGAAAATAGTCTAGTGATATATCTATGTGGGCCCCAAAAGACAGCTTTGTCAGTTACCTGTTCATTGAAGTCAAATGAAATTTTATATGTATAAAAAGTTATGCTTGTGCATTTTATAAATCTAGGCTCCTGACAATAATGGAAATCTGTTTTTTAATAGATACTATTTTTGAAATTATATACTGTGAAGTATTCTTAGAAACATCCCTAAAAATGTAATACATCAATATTAAGATGCATACATTTATCACTGCCCCTTTATTTTTTTCCTGGTATTAGCATGGACTGCACAGGAAAGAAACCCCAGGGCAGTGGTGTCATGTGGGGCAGACGGGTGTTCCTCCAGGAACAGTGATCATACACCCACCGTGAGATGTAGGTGGAAATATAGTGGTTGCCACAGGCGGACTTTATATTAACTGTAACAATGTCCAGCTGTATCACATAAATGTCATCCAAGTAATTACCTTTGTGACATTTGGGAACATTAGCAGATGAACAATAGACACTGCTTCTTATATCCTTTAAATATAGTGTTTCTAGGGATTAAAATGCTTCATAGTGAATTCAGTGAGAGCCTTGTTGGAGAGTAATTATATCTCCCAACGCGGACAAAGTAGAAGGCTTGCATTTCCTCCTTGTATGACTCCCTGCACTTAGATAAGTCAGAAAACCAGAATGTTAGCTGCTTCTGTTCTGGGGCTCATGGAAATGTCTGTGCTGTCTATTACTTTCAAAAGACAAATTGAAAATTTCTGTTTGGAAATATGTGACCCAACCTATCCTGCAAAAATTTTTAGCTACTGACAGATAAATGGATTGATAATTGGGTTTATTTTCCATTGTAGTTCTCAGGCTCCCAAGACTGTTCTGCAGCAGATATACCATGGACCACAGAGAATATGAATTCAATGATTGGGAGATGGCCCTGCCTTTATATACATATAAAACAATGATCATTATATTTGATTTCTGTATTGGGGAATCTCTTGAACATAGAGCCATGAGAAAAGTATAAACACATATACTATTTTACCTGTTTGGAAGGTAGATATTCAAAGAACATTGGAATCAGATTATACACTGACATATTCCAAAGGAAGTTACAAACAGCATATAATATTTATTCATAAGATCCCCTGCACTCTGCCCAAAGTATGGTTATGAGTCTCAGCATCTGCTTGATACACTGCTGGGTAGAGTCTTTCAGAGGCCTTCTGTGATAGGTTCCTGTCCTGTTTCTTGCTTTCTCCTTCTTCCTGTGTCCATCCCATTTGTCTTTCTGATTGAGGATTTATCTTCTTACCGAGTGTCTTCCTTCTTGCTTAGCTTCTTTGTATACAGATTTTGGTATGTTTATCCTATATTATATGTCTCTTATAAGTGTCCTCTTATAAGTGTGATTATACCATATGTGTCTTTCTGCTTCTGGGATACCTCATTCTGGATGATATTTCCTAGATTTCCTATATCTCACCATTTGCCTGCAAATTTCATGAGTTCCTTGTTTTTAATTGCTGAGTAGTATTCCATTGTATAAATGTACCACAATTTCTTTATTTATTCTGGGTTGTTTCCAGATTCTGGCAATTATGAATAAAGCTGCTACAGACATGGTTGGGCAAATGTCCTTGTTGTGTTCTTGAACACACACACAGGAACGCACACACACACACACACACACACATGGCTGGATCTTGAGGAAGTGCCATTCCTAATCATCTGAGAAAGTGCCAGATTGATTTCCAAAGTGGTTGCACAAGTTTACATTCTCACCAGCAACGGAGGAAGGTTCCCCTTTCTCCATATACTCTCCAGCATATATTTTCACCTGAGTTCTTGATCTTAGCCATTCTGATGGGTGTAAGGTGAAATCTCAGGGTCATTTTGATTTGCATCTCCCTGATGACTAAGGATGTTGAGCATTTCTTTAAGTGTTTCTCTACCATTCTATATTCCTCTACAGAGAAGGGGGAGATAAGACCTGGGAAGGACAGGAGCTTCACAAGGAGAGCAACAGAACCAAAAAAAAAAAAAAAATCTGGGCACAGTGGTCTTTTCAGAGACTGATACTCCAACCAAGGACCATTCATTGATATAACCTAGAACCTCTGCATAGATGTAGACCATGGCTACTCAGTGTCCAGTTAGGTCACTGACCTAGAAAGGGGGACACTGACATGAACTCAGTAGCTGGCTCTTTGATCACCTCCCCTGGATGGGGAAGCAGCCTTGCCAGGCCACAGAGGAGGATAATGCAGCCAGTCCAAATGAGACATGATAAGCTAGGGTCAGGTGGAAGTGGAGGAGGACCTACCCTATCAGTGGACTTGGAGAGGGACATGGGTGTATATAAAGGAGGGAAGGTGGGATTGGAAGGGAATGAGGGAAGTGGCTATAACTGGGATACAAATTGAATACACTGCAATTAATATAAAAGTAAACATTTAATAAAATATATTATATCTTTTCATTACTTTTTTTTTCCTTTTGAGGTCTAAAAGTGAATGGCTCCTGTGCTTATCATACAAGTGTTAAGATCAAAGTTCAAGCCCCTGCACCTATATAAAAAAGCTGAGTGTCATGATAACCCTATAATTTCAGAACTGGGGAGATGGAAACAGGTAGTTCTGTGAGGCTTACTGGCCAGCTCATCTCATCCATTTGGTCAGCTCCATATTCAGTAATAGACCCTGTATGAAAATATAAGTTGGAATGTAATTGAGGAAGAAACCCGAAATCAAACTCCCACCCTCACAAATATGTGCACACGCCTGAACATCATGTGAACAAATGCATTTACACTACTATCCTTGCAAAAAGTAGGAATGTCTATATGTAGTAACTGACCTTTGTTGTGCAAACTTACCTGATCTTAGGCACTAAAAATACATGTTGGAAAGAGAGAAAGAGCCCAAGCATTCTGCGTTCTTGTAAAGTACTTATACTATACTGATTCTGTTTTTGAAAAACTTCATATTGCATTCAGGGAGAGGTTTCCTAGAGTATAACACAGAAAACAAAGTCTAGATAAATGTTGAACAAATGCAAAGTTCCCTGAACTTCATTCTTGAATGTATCTTCATTCTTGAATGCATCACCTTCTTACATTAACATTTGTTTGACTAAAAGGGTCTTTGGCAGAATAACAAATGTGGGTCAAATGCTGGAATTTCAGATACAGTAATACCCAAAATCAACTTGTATTTCTATCATATATCCAACAGAATGCAATTAGGTCACTTCTTACAGTAACCTTCTACTGAGAAACTTACAGATTGAGCCTCACAACAGCATTTATTATATAGGGTTACCTGGGATATGAGTGTGAGTGCCTTCATTCACATAGACACTGGGAAATGATATCTCTACTCCAGTTCTCAATTTTATTATTTCTATAATCCAGCCAAACAGCATATATATATATATATATATATATATATGTGTGTGTGTGTGTGTGTGTGTGTGTGTGTGTGTTTAATTGCTATTTCAACCCGAAAACTCTTCTAGTATATATATATATATATATATATATATATATATATATATATATATATGGCTTTCTTGTCTTTTCTTTAGCTTTCATATTTACATTTAATTTGCAATTAAATAACAGTGGTTTTCAATTCATATATATGAGTACAATGCATTTTGATCGTATTTACTGCTCCATTTCTCTATTTTATCCTCCCATAGTTCTGTTGATCCCTTAGGTCCTAACTAGTCTCCCATCTGCTGTAGTATCTTTGTTAATAATATAATGAGTTTCATTAGGTTTGCTTACACAAGGTTTAAGTGAGGGGTTAGGTATAGATAACTTGGGTAACTTACTAGGAATTGTGCAAATCAGGCATTCTTTACCAATGGCCAATTGCCTATAAATCCTCAGGAAATTGTGGGTCGGTGACATAATTTTGATGTGTGCAGTATTGTCCAAGGCCTTGCATAGGAAATCATAGTTCATAAAAATTCAATAGTTCAACAGCCAGAAAATAAGTGTTCCACAGTTCACCATCTCTTCCTCTGGCTCTTATCTTCCATTTGGCCCCCTTCTTGTGATGTTTCCTGAGTTTTGCAGGGACTGTGATATAGGGGTCTCATGTGGCTGAGAACTCAACAGTCACAGAATTTTCAACCTCTTTTTTAAATTTAATTTTATACATATATTTAATTATTACAATTTATTCACTTTGTAGCCCGATGCAGCCCCCTCTCTTGTCTCCTCCCAGTCCTTCCCTCTTCTCCCTCTATGCCAATTCCCTAGCTCCCTGATAGGGGAGGACCCTCTTCGCATTCTAGCTGACCCTAGTTCATTAATTCTCATCAAGGCTGCCCTAGCAAGGCTGCAACCCCAAGAGGAAGGTGAGCAGACAACCCGCTACAAGTCAGAGACAACCCCTGTACCCCTTACTTGGAAGCCCACTGGAAACTGAGCAGCCAATTGGCTTCCTTTGAACAGAGGGTCTAGGTTCTCTCCATGCATGGTCCTTAGTTGGAGTATCAGTCTCAGGAGGGCCCCCTTGGGCTCAGGTTTTTGGCTCTGTTGTTCTTCTTGTAGAGTTCTTGCCCCCTTCCCCCACGATCTTTCTATCTCCCTCTTCTTCCAAAAGGATTCCAGCACTCTGCCCAAAGTATGGCAATGAGTCGCAGTACCTCCTTTGATAACCCGGTGGGTAGAGTCTTTCAGATGTCCTCTGTGGAAGGCTCCTGTCTTGTTCCTTGTCTTCTCCTACTTCTGATGTCTATCCTGTTTGCTCTTCTGAAAGAGGATTAAGCATCTTCCTTTGTTGTCTAGCTTCTTTAGGGCTATAGATTTTAGTATGTTTATTCTATGTTAAATGGTTAATATACACTTAAACATGAGTATATATCATTTGTGTCTTTCTGATTCTGCGTTACCTCACTCAGAATGATCTTTTGTAGTTCCCACAATTTGCCTGCAAATTTCATGATTTCCTTGTTT